AAGAGCAGCAAGATCAATCTCAGGGAGTGGCAGTTGTATGAGGTGAGATCATGTTACTTTGATGCAATTAATGTACTGCAAGATGGTTATTTGTTATGAGTCTTGTACACTGTATAAACACAAGTATTGGGACACCTGACCATTACAACAAACAGGGACTTTATCGACACCAAATTCTAAATACATAGACATTAATATGTAGTTGGTCCACTCTTTGCAGCTATAACAAATTACGCTCTTCTGGGCACAAGATGTTGCAGTGTGGGCGAGAAGGCCTGGCTCGCAAACAACGTTCCAGTTATTATTATAATTATTGCCATTTATATAGCGCCAACATATTCCGGAGCGCAGTTCATCCAAAAGATGTTCGATGTCCGGACTGGTCAGGACACTGTGCTGGATAGTGAAGTTTTTTTTTCTCTTTTGTTCTTCAGATTCGGTCTGCTCCCAAAATTCTGCCAAGCTGAAACGACATTCTGCTGAAATTCAGGAGTCACGAAAATGTATTTATTTCAGGGCAAATGGTTCATTGGGCCAAGCCAAATTTACTCACCAGGAACAAGTGTTGTAAGCATCTATTGATCCTTTATTATGGAAGCCAGCACTGTATGTTGGCCAGAAGCTTGTTTATTACCTTGTTACCTCTCCCTCGCATTTTCCCAAGAGAAGGTGAGAAGGCTGTATTGCACTGAAAGAGTGAAAGGTTGGAAGTGTTACCGTGTGACATCTAGGCTGCACGTGTATACTTAGAGGGTGGTTATGAGAAATTACTTTAATTGGGTGTACAGCAGGTTATCACAGAATGAGACAGACTATCATGGATTTACAAATACAATGAGATGTCGAAAGGCTACCAGGTCCACTTGTTGGATGTTTGTACAATAAATAATTCTTTACTGAATTCACAGAAAGTGGAATGTTCAGATTTAATGTTATTCCGTGGGTCTTAGGGACAGTAACCCTTTTCTCCACACCTTTGTATATAATAAATCCCTTTTATTTTGTGATGACACTGTATTTGGCACTTCTGAGGACATCAGATGAAATCACAGCATTAAGTCCTTTAGGAGGAATCTGCTGCTACATGCGTCCCAGTTTCATGCCTCCTGTCGGGAAATCCAAGTTCTTTGCGTAAACATTTAATAAAAAAGATCATGAGTTCTGAGTTGTCAATTTGTTTACAATGGTTAATTGTGATCTACGGTTTAGCAATTTAACTAAAATACTCAACGCACCATAACCACTTCAGCATACTGTAAAAAAATCAAGGCGTAATGATTGTGCGTTAGAAAGAAAACATGTTGTGTCAATCATATTTATTCTCCAGTTCCTCTGCCTATTATATTTTTGAAATATTGCCCCAATCTCTGGGACAATGATCATTTGGATATGTTTCGTCTCTTGCAAGAGGATATCTGACATCACGTATTGGATTAAAGAGAGACTATGGATTTATGATGTTGAATCCCACGGCTCCCCTTTATCTTTATCACTCACCACAGACAAAGTTATAACCTATAGTTATTATGCTATAAAATGTTGCTACATAAAACTTAAATTCTTCTGACAATCACTTCCATGTGTTTGTATCAGCTGATTGATGACATCTAGTGGTCTCAGTGAGAACTTCGATCTGCAGGACTTTTTTAAAAAAGAAAAAATATATTGTTTTACGGTTTATTTTTTCATTATTGATGCCACTTTATAAACTGCCCATTGGAGACATATGTACCATACAGATGCAGTGTGATCTACTTTAAATAGTACATTTGGCCAAAGTCATTCTGAGCAATTCAGAAGTTCTAATTTAGATAAAATTCATACAATTTATTCTCATTGAATCGCCGAGGCAACAGCATCTAGAAACCGATTTAAAATGTTTCCAAATTAATTTAGTTTTATTTATTTTTTAGGGCTGAAACCACACCAAAATGTGCAACATATTGTTTTTAACTATACCCACAGTCCAAGTAAAATAGATGTAAAAATACCCGTATTTTGTCTATTATGTGTGTAGTAGTAATAAATGAGGCATACGTGTATATTTTTAAATATGTGATAGTAACTCGCTATATTAAAGTACCATGTAGTGTGTTGGGTAAATTAGCTTCTTAATGTCAGCCTGTTATGACAGATATAGATTTGCAATTATCTAATCATCTGGCTTTACTCGTGTTATACAATGACGTTTTTCTTCCCTGAATAGGATTAAAAACTCATGTTTTAATTTATTCCAATTAGCCCTGTCTCCTGCTGAGAACCCGGAGGAGCATAGTTATTATACTATAAAATTTTGGTATAAACCTTCTCCTAAAAACACTGGGGGAAACTATAATCAATAGTAGGGTAGGACCAACACCTATCATCACCTAAGAAAAAGTAACTCAAAAATTGAGGATCAAAGAAAATAAATATTAGATTTTCTTTTTAACCCTTTATTGCCATTATGGCGTATCATGGCACCCTGCACAAAGTGGCCTTAAATACTGTTAGTCGAGACGTACTGGATAACGCACTCACCAAGTAACCCAGGTGCTCTGAAACCAGGGCTGGCCAGGCCTCCCTGCTGTAATTTCACTTCTGTTTTTTCACCTAATTTAATTTTTTTCCCTGTGATTGATCACTTATTTAAATATACTTTAAAAAGTGTTTAGTACATTATGAAGAATATATTTTCTTTTAATATTATAAATATGTTCTCAATTCTTATTTTTAGTGGTTAGATCCCTACCTATATATTGGTATCCACATGGACAGGTGATCAATAAATTAGATTTTTAGAGTTGCAGGTTAAAAAAGATTTAATATCATACGATTTTTTAGAAAAAAAGAATCAAATTTGGTAACAGTTTTATTTTTATGTTTTCTTAAAGTGCACCCTCTACATGACCCACAATAGTTAAAAGCCATTGTCTCTTTTAAACATAGTTAAAAGTTGGGGATTTTTTTCCTCTCTAAAAAACTTGAAGTTAAAACCTGTTTAAAATTCTTTGCTCCTCTAAAAATGACTTTGGGTTTATTCCTTTATATTGTTGCCCATCTTAATCCTGCACCAAAATGTGCCAGTGTGGTAGTAATTATTTTTTGTAATCAGTCTGTTTGAGCTAGGGAAAAAATGATAGGTATAGTAAGTGTGTGTCCCTTGTTGAGTGTTTTAGATTGTAAAAGTGTTTGTGTTAGTTCTTGTGTGTCTCCTTCTGTTTAGTTTGTAATTCATCATTTGTGTCCCCTTTTCCACTAGTGTGATTAATTAAAATCTGAGTTGTTCTGTCATATTGTTGAGTTTCTGTACAATTTCGCTTGATCCTTAAAAATTGTCCCTTAGGTATATTCTGTTAACCAGGGTTTAAAATGGCAACTTTTCAAATTAATAAAACTATTTACATCTACTAATTTAAAAAAAGTTTTACTTTTAATTTGGTTGTCTTCCACATAAATATTCAAATCTAAAAAATTAACTTGTTGAGTACTAATTTCGTATGTTAGATGAATGTTCCAACTGTTTGAATTAAGAACATTTAAAAAACTTAAAAGGGACTCTTTTGTTCCTCTCCATATAATAAAAATATCATCTATGTATCTTTTGTATAAGACCAGATTTGCCCCAAATTCTGATTTAGAAAAAATCTCCAATTCCTCCCAATATGCCATAAATAAATTAGCATAGCTTGGGGCAAATCTGGTCCCCGTCCTATGGACGTTCAGCGTCTTCTCACTGTGATTTTCACAGTGATAATCGCGGAAGCGCCTCTAGCGGCTGTCAATAAGACAGCGACTAGAGGCTGGATTAACCCTCAGTGAAACATAGCAGTTTCTCTCAAACTGCTATGTTTTCAGCTGCAGGGTTAAAACTAGAGGGACCTGGCACCCAGACCACTTCATTGAGCTGATGTGATCTGGGTGTCTGTAGTGGTCCTTTAAGTGTATGTGTATCTGCATGCACTGGCGTACATACCGCGGTCACAGGGGTCGCAGCCATGCGACCAGGTGCCTGCCACCAGGTGTTTCGGCACCGGCCTGCACAGAGTAAGCGCGGTGTGGGACCATGGATCATTTTCGCACTGGGGCCCCATGGGTTGTGTGTTCGCCACTGCCTCCAAGCTATACATGTTAAGATCATTCAACCTTTCCTTGTAAGTTTTATCCTGCAATCCATGAACCAGTTTAGTAGCCCTTCTCTGAACTCTCTCTAAAGTAGCAATATCCTTCTGGAGATACGGTCTCCAGTACTGCATAAACCGCTTTTTAACATTCAAGTTTTTCTTTCTTTTTAGCAGGTTCTTTGCATTTATGAGTCTCATTACTTGCTCTTACTCATTAAATTAAGAGCTTGCCATTAAGCAAAATGGTTGCCTGACATAGAATTTGCGCTCCTATGGGATGTCTTATGAGAAATGAACTGTAGGAGTATGCCTCTGAGCACTTTGTCACGTACAGATTCTAGTGACGCCGCGTTCCATACGGACGTGACATAAATAGGGGCCAGATAGGACATCTCTACAGTGAATGACCAGACATGCAGTGTATTGTTGGAATCCGTAAGGAGAAAACCAGCACTGGAAGATGGCATCTGTGCCAAAACATGTTTATAACCCATCGAATACTGTTTTTATTTTTGATCCTGGGTTACTGCTTGTTGGGGAGTGGAATTTTTATGTCTCGTATATGCCCACCACCATTTTTGTAATAGTCCCCAGAGGTTTTATTCTTCTCTATTTTGCATACTGTATCAAATACTTTTGGGTGAAATCACCTGACTTTATGTATTCCATTTCTATAATTAGATCGTGTTGGCACACTTGAGATTTCTATACAGAGCCTAGTTAGGCTCTGGGCCATGTGAGTTGTATTCCAAACTCTACCCCATCCTATATATTTAATATAGACACAATATATAGTTTCTTTTCAATTTTATTGTAGATAGCACCAGAATGTTTGTGTAAAACATCTGTAGTTTCACATTTGCAATTTAATTTTTTTTAAATCTACTGGTATATACAGCCTTCTGCAACCTTCCCGTTTTGAACAGAGATAATTCCCAGAGATTTATACTCCAATTTTCATGGCTCATCAGGAGCTAGCCACCACTTCAGACTATATGTAGCCTACTGCGCACCAAGTAGAAGCAGCTGCGCTCACGAATTGGAAGTGCAGGGATAACATTCCAACAGAGCACATGCCTAGTCACCCAACTTCCAGCAGGGGTAATCCTGGTCCACCCCAGGAGAGCAACCCAGACCCTGTAGGAATGTGGGTTGAAAAACATAGGCAGTGTCCACTGCAATGCACTAAATATGGCAGAGGCTGCATGCTTCCCTACTTTAAAGAGCCGATATGCTCAATCTCGGATTAGAGTTGGACCAACTGGCAGTTTGTCAGAAGCTGCAATGTACAAGACGAAATGCCAGGCTACAGTCCACAAAACCAGCCAGCACCACGTACACAGCAGTTGTCTGGGCTACATGCAGAATGCCCAAATGTGGTGGAGCAGCTCACCCAAACGCACTGTACCTCAACAATTGGTACCGCCGCTAATCGTCATTTGAAGCTCCTGGGTGGCAACAATGACCATAGTACACCTCAGCCCCAACACATGCAATATAAATCAAAGTTACATGAGCACTACAAAGTTTGTTTCACCCCAGTGGCCAGTAGGTGTTAGCCCACCTGCCACACCAAGTTGTAATGGCCATTAGAGTGAACCCCAAAAAAACCTCCATTTGTAGAAATATGCTTTATTGTATGTATTTGGGCTGTGTACTATGGTTCTTGCTGCCACCCAGGAGTAATAGGAGTCTGAGCACAGGACTTTGTGTACTTGCTTTTGTATCAACATGGCAGTTGATGCCTTGGTTCAATCACAAATTCAGGTATTATTCCAAGCACATCAGAACTCTGGCCATTGCCATTTTAGTCACTTCACGATATCATTGTCAATATGATAGTCTATCAATACCTGTCATCCACCTACACTTTAGCTCATGCCCACCTACAGAATCAATCTTATTTTCCAATCTACAATGGTGCCCGGTCAACATACTAGACCAGCTTAGCCAATACTCACAGGACTACACATAATCCTTTCACATCAGGATTCTATTCCTTAACTTTGATATAACCCCCTTAACATTTTTAGAATAGGCACTACTTCTGCAGCTTCAAGTAAATATCCCAGTACACATCAAGACAAACATAGGAATGCATCTGCATACACCAGACCCCTCCCAAGAAAGGCGTTTGAGGCAGGCATGTAAAGAATTGGTTATTTCATAAGAGTTAATCCCTTTGCAGGCCTACCCAAACATTAGTTTTGTCACACCATTACTTGGCTTTAATATCCCCAACCAGGAAGACTGAGCCTGAAATTGTGGGAAGGTGTTACCTAGCCTACACACCCAGACATAGGACCAATATGTATGCACCAGGAACACATTAAGACACAAGTATAGCTCCAGATGCTATACATGAGTGTCAATATGTACACACCAGAGAAAGGCAAACACCAGACACTGCACACAGGATTCAGGGTACTGAGTATTTCCTTTCATGCAAGACTTCTGCCTGCTTTAATAAAGTTCTATTACTTTATTGAAATTATATTACCCCTTAAAGGACCACTATGCCAGGAAAATGTTTTCCTGGCACTATAGTGTCCTGAGGGTGCCCCCACCCGCCTGGCTCTGGAGAGGAAAGGGTTAACACTTTCCAGCACCGGGTGGAGAACTCTCCTCCCTTTCGGCTGAATGCGCATGCGTGGCAAGGGCTGTGCACGCATTCAGCCGTCTCATAGGAAAGCATTTACAATGCATTCCTACGGACGCTTGTGTGTTCACTGATTTTCACAGTGAGAATCATGCAAGTGCCTCTAGCAGCTGTCAATGAGACAGCCACTAGAGGATTTGGAGGCTGGATTAACCCTATTAACAGTTTCTCTAAAACTGCTATGTTTATAAAAAGGGTTAATCCTAGAGGGACCTGGCACCCAGACCACTTCATTAAGCTGAAGTGGTCTGGGTGCCTAGAGTGGTCCTTTAATTTGGAGATTTACTTTTCTTGGTCCTGATGCTCCAGTCTATGCTGATTTGAGACAATACATTGGAAGTTAAAATGAATTTGATAACATGACAAATTTGACATTTGCAACATGCATTGAGCTAGGACTGCTTTTTTCCTCAACTATTGGAGTGTATGGTATTCATATTCAATTTACATCTCACTCACACCAAGTGCACTTTTGTCCTGGTTGGGTGACTACCCAAACGATTTGGGTGTTTCATACTAGATTACACATTTTAAGCACCCATCACTTTGCACTTTACATTTTGGAAGAGTTGCAAAAGGTTTCAAAGTTGTAAAATTTGAAAATGGCAGGTGTGACAAGTGTAGCAAAATTAAACAGGAGTTTTGCAGGTGTTTGGCACTTATTGGATTTCAGAAATTGCAAATGGTTAGCTGCATGTATGACAATTATGCCTCTTTTCCACTGAGTGGATCAGTATGCTATTTTGAGTTTTTCCATTATGAAAGTGGCTCATACAAGCAAACTGTACTGCACCATTCCTGGTCCTCCTTCAGATGTAGGGCCATAGGAAAGGGTACAGTTAGGGAAGAGCTACTAGTGTCACTACAATCCTTTGACAGGAAAAGTCAATGCTCATGACAAATGACACTGGACATTTTTTCTAAACCCTGCATAGCCCCTGAAAGTCTGACTTGCAGTGGAAACGCTCACCTGAATAGGCTGGACCATTCTAACCCCTTCCAAACTGTACCAACCTGAACCGCTCAGTTGAAATGAGGCATTAGTGGACACTAGGAAGATCAGCATAACCTACATTACAGAGGTAAACCCTGCCCTGCCCCCCATATTCAGTAAAATCTGATACAAGAACCTCCATTAATAAACTCTGAACCTTTAGACATGTTTTAAAAGTTATTGAAAACTTTATTGAAAGGTCTCAGGCTGGTATATTTGAGAAGACACTTTGTCTTTAGGCACTCTGAGACAGGTCTTAATTGTGCTTTAGCGGGTTCCAATGGTGACTTGCCAAACTCTGATCAAGTTGTCAGTGTATCCAGCAAACAGGGTCTGGAAGAGATTGAACAAGAAGCAGAACAAACAGTTATGCAATGATCAGTTTCCAGTATTGCGTGCAAGAGTCAAACTAAAGTATAAGCAATTCACTGTACCTGTCCATCAGCAGACCAAGCCAGAGAGGTGCATTGTGGGGGCTCTGCTTTACTGCTGGTGCTGATCACTTCCTGCTTCAACTCATCTACAATGATCTTACCCTCCAGGTCCTACAAGAGAAAATTCATGAATGCATGTTTAAAAGAAAGGATTAGTCTTGCTCAGTAACAGCCTCTGAGATTCAGCATCTGACTTCAGCTGGCATTCAGAAATCACATCATTGCAAGATTAGCAGAACGAAAGCATGTAAACAGCAACAGACAACATACCCAAATCTTGATGCTGGGTCCGGTGGCTGCACAAAGCCAGTAGCGGTTAGGGCTGAAAGCCAGAGCATTGATGGTATCGCCACTGTCCAGAGTGTACAGATGTTTTCCCTCATTCAGATCCCACAGCATGGCTTGTCCATCCTAAATATAAAGTTTAGGATTTAACATAGCCAGATCACAATTCTTAGACAAAAATAAAAATATGCTCTAGTCAGAGAGTTGTAGACCATGCCATTATCCTAACTCACCTTGCCACCAGAGGCACAAAGCGACCCATCAGGTGAAACTGTCACAGTGTTCAGATATCCACTGTGACCAATGTGGTTTGTCTTCAGCTTGCAGTTGGCAAGGTTCCAGACCTAAAATGACAGATGTGTTAATTTATAGCTACAGAAGTACTTTGTGAAGCTACTCAACTGTTTGTGGCAAAAAAAAAAAAATTCAAAATTAAACACCCCAGTCAGACAGAAGAACTGTTCCCAGAAATCTAACTGAGCATGAAACAAGGCAAGACTATACATTTCAACATGTTTTAGACCCTGGTTGACTCAATCTATACCCAATATTAAAACTTAAACCAGGGTTTATAGAAAACCTTCCCAAAAAGCACTTTAGCTCAGTAACAGCCTCTGAAAATCAGCATTTAGCATCAGACAGCATTCAGATATAACATCACTGCAAGTGCTGGAAGGAAGTACCATGTGCTCAACTCCTATGATATAAGACACCTCAATGAAAGGAAAGTCTCTGGACATATAATGCTTAAAACCAAAGCACTGGGAGCCACATTACTACTACAGCTCAATATAACTTGTCACTTAGAATGGCTAGTACTCAGTCTATCACTACTGCCCTATTTTGACTAAATTAAAAAGCAATCATTCCCATTGTCACTACAATGGAGATGTCACCACATGCTAAAGCACATGTCACTTAATGTATTCCTAAGTTAAAATGATACAGTAAGCAGCTGACAGCACAAACTTTTGGATGCAATCCATTCGGCAGTGTATACACATTGTCTCGCCATGTATTCCAGAATTGCAGTAAAAATTCATCAAGTGGACTTACCTTCACCATCTTATCCCATCCACAAGATACAATAATTGGGTTGCTGCTGTTTGGAGAAAATCTGACACATGAGACCCATTCAGAGTGAGATTCTTCCTGTGAAAAGAGACCATTAGAAGTTACACCTACATGGCTTTAGTACCAACAGCCCCTAATGCAGAATAAGCCCCCAGTTTCCCATCATAATTGCAGGGTTATCAACAAGTCTCAAAAGAGATGCTCAGAAGTGTATTCTATTCATAAGGAAGAGGCATTTAGAAGACAAAGCACTGAGTTGCTATTTGAGTTCTTACCTGTACAGTGTATTTACACACTCCCAATGTGTTCCACAGCTTGATTGTTTTGTCACGGGACCCAGAAACGATCTGACGGTTGTCGGCAGAGAAGGCAACACTCAGGACGTCCTTGGTGTGACCCACAAATCGTCTTGTGGTGGTGCCTCTGAGGAGGGACATTTGACACGATGACACAATGGAAGTATCCACTCCCCTCTGAACAACTTTTTCTGTTTCACCCTGTGGAGGGGGAGGGACAGATACATAACGTCCCTGTTTTGCCATCAATCTTTAAGGCCAGGGACAGTTTCCTTGTATTTCCCACCACCCCCAAAGGAAAGGCCATTTCTGTACAAAATTAGTTACATATAATCATTTGATACTTACGTTGTGAGATCCCAGAGCCTTAGTGTTCCATCCCAGGAACCAGACAAGGCAAACTGCCCATCAGAAGATATGACCACATCACTAACAAAGTGGGAGTGACCACGCAGGGCTCGCTGAGGTACACCATAGTTTGTTTCATCACGAGTAAGCTTCCACATGATTACAGTCTTATCTACAAGAAATGTTAATATGAAAGGTATTCGTGAGACTTGTGTTAGGTAAACAAAACTATTCACAGCTGATATTGATGGAACACTCCAAGAACACAAGACTTCAACTTGCAGAAATGCTATGTTTAGCGTACCCACTTATTTCATAGATTTTTTTAATTCTTACTGCATATGCATTTCCAGAATGGAACCTCGACACTCCATGACTATCACAGCTGGATACAGATGTTTGCCCAGAACACCTACTGCAGTGTTAGGCAAGCTTCTGCATTCCAGATGTTGTGGACTACATCTCATAATGCTAGCAAAGCATCATGGGAGATGTAGTCAACATCGGGATCGACGAATGTTTCCTAACCCCAATCTACTGCATACTAAGATTTAACTACAGCCCCTCATGATGCAAGTTTTCCTTGAAGTATCTAGATTTTTATTTTGCCCTTATGAAATGATCCTTTACAAAAAATATAAAAGGAAAATTTTAACCTAACATAAGCAACTAATGTTTAGATTAACCAGTTAATATTCACATTGCCACAACAACATCGCAAGACGTGTCGCTACGCACGAGTTGGCTTAATAAAAGTGCATTTTATGGAATCCAAAAGCTTTGATGTTAGTAAACAATACAATCTTTAAGACCATGCAATAGCAGGCAGCATCGCCCACCAGATTGCCTCGACAGACATATCGGACTAGTAGCTTTCACTTTACGTCAACGACATCTCAGGCCTAAGGCCTAAAACAGATGAAGCTGACTTGGGGAAATCCTCCAGTTAGCCACGCTGGCCAGAAGGCAGATTTCCAACACGTCACACTTTAACGAGCGGCCCAGGCGAGATAGTCGGTCTCAGCTAGACCAATACATCCACTTAACACCCAACTCCCACTGTACAATAGTCACACATACTATTTACTATGTTTTATATAGAGCAGACGTATTCCACAGCGCTGTGCTATATTACACAGTGGGGAATTTAATAGAGGAGACCATTACAAAATGTTACAGGAACAATAAGGCAATGAGGACTCTGCTCAAAAGAGCTTACAATCTAGAGCAGCAATACTCACAATCCTCCCCCCCTTTAAATATAGAACACCCACCCCTGCCATTAAGTTCTATTTAAGCCCAATTCTCTATTATTAGAGTGTCAGAGCGTCTGTTTATTATATATTGTCATGGAACAGGCGGCACATTGGATCTTGGCATTAACACACATGCATCTCACCCCGGGAAGAGCTGAGGATCATGTCTGGGAACTGCGGGGTGGTTGCGATCTGGGTGACCCAGCCACTGTGGCCCTTAAGGGTCCCCCGAAGTGTCATCTGCTCAGTCATGGCTAGGATGTGTCCGGGGACGCTCCTCCGGCGGCGGATGGAGAAGGATTGCAGCTGCTAGGCCCAAGGAAGCCAAAGAGAGGCGGAGGTAGGCCCGATCCGGCCTTATATAGTGAGCTACAGGATACGCCTGCGTGTGACGTCATCGCGGCCCGACGTACGGCGTAACATGTCGGTGAGGTAATTAAGTCATTACCGCAAATAGGCCAAATATTAGAGTAAAGAGTTAAAAGTGGGTTTTGGTGCGCGGCGGCTTTCTGAATTGATGTCCGACATATGTAAATTGGGGTTTTTTTTTGTTTTTTGTTTTTAAAACACCGTTTCACTGTATGAAAAATTGTGCCACACACAATATGGCGGCGCAGAGCTGCCGAGACGTGGGATGGCGTCAATACGCAGCTTGATTCGAAGTGGAAGTGAGCGCGTCACAGGAAAGGCCACAGCCTGTGCGTTTTGCAAAAGATTCCGTGTATGTTTGCAGATTAGTAGACCTGTTATTTGTGTTCCGTGGAAATGTTTGCTTTGTATGGAAAAATAAAATATATATTAAAATTAATAAAAATTAAAAACGTGAGAAAACAGCACAAAGAATGGGAAAATGTTATTTGTCATAAATTGTATTCCCTATATATAGCCTGCTCCTATTTTCCTTGCTGTGTGGTTGTAACACTCCAAGCACCATAACCACTCCAACGCTTACATATAACATTTCATGTGGACAAAGAGAGACATTTTCATTTTAGGGATTTCAGTGAGGATGTGGCGGGGCTGTTCTGAGAAATTTTAGGTAACTTACTAAAAAAAAAAAACTATTTATGCAACTAATGTGTAATTTCGAACAAAAAAATTATTATTTTATTTACACAGATTGTTTAATAAACACGTTCGTTGTAGTTTAAAGACACATTTCCTGTTAAATTGCTGCAGAGCTATGCTATAAATTCAAAACACACCAAGAATACCGAGCACCTAAAAAAGTGGGCCTGTCCCTATTTTGGAGTAAAAGGCCCCATTTTTGGTGCTCGGTATCCTCGGTGAAAGAGATACAGTGGTTATGGTCTCAGGAGTGCCGAGTTAAGTCTTTCCATGTCTGCAGGGGTTAAAAGCAAGAACTCTCTCCCCTGTCTGCTATCTGTTGAAATCAAAACCTCCCTTTTATTCTCATAGGTCAAGCTGACACAGAGAACCTCAGACTGGATAATTAGTCAAATTACCTCCAAATTTCTGTAAATGAGCTTTGAATGTGGGCCTGTGTGAAGCAATCTGCAGGCCCTGAATTCCCCTAGCAGAGCTCAATTACCTTGGAAATGACTACGAATTGAAGCCCACAGAAATTTCTCAAGTAGCCCTGATATGTAAAAAAAAATAAAAAATAAAAAAGAACACTGCCCCTGGACACCAGGGTCCCTCTCAGTGATGGCTGGTGAAGTTTTAAGATGGTGGGGCACCATACCCCTCCCTATTAAGTACACCAGAACCTCCATACTTGATTTAAAGAGGTATACAACTATTGCATGTTCAACATCACTAAGCACTCCACCCATTTTTTACCGAGATTATATCTTGATAATTGTCTGTCTGATATTTATAAAAATACATAGAGCTGAGTACAATACAGAGATAACCATACCACATACAGAGCTGAGGAAAAATAGGGATACAACACAGAGTTGGGTAGACTATAGAGATACCCACGCAACATGTAGAGCTAAGTAAAATACAGATATGCAATATACAGAGTAAAACAGAAATGTAACTATACAATACACAGAGCTGGGTAAAACAGAAAGATAATATAGAAACATAGAATGTGACGGCAAATAAGAACAATTCAGCCCATCTAGTCTGCCCAATTTTATAAATACTTTCATTAGTCCCTAGCCTTATCTTATAGTTAGGATAGCCTTATGCCTATCCCACGCATGCTTAAACTCCTTTACTGTGTTAACCTCTACCACTTCAGCTGGAAGGCTATTCCATGCATCCACAACCCTCTCAGTAAAGTAATACTTCCTGATATTATTTTTAAACCTTTGCCCCTCTAATTTAAGACTATGCCCTCTTGTTGTGGAAGTTTTTCTTCTTTTAACCCCTTAAGGACCGGACTGTTTTGGCAATGTTGTACGTTAAGGACCAGGGCTGTTTTAATACTTTTGTGGTGTTTGTGTTTAGCCATAATCTTCGTCTCTCTCATTTACTGTTCCCATACAAATTATATATATATATATTTTTAACGACAAGAAGGGCTTTCTTTTCATACCATTATTTGTATAATGTAATGTCATATAATTTACTTTAATAAAATAACAAATAAAAAAATATATGGTGAAAAATTGAAACAAAAACATCATTTTTGAATTTTACTTGAAAAATCTTTTACTCATCTACAAAAGCTAATGAAAAAAATTGCTAAATAGAATGAAGATTTTGTCCTGAGTTTAAAAACACCCAGTGTTTACATGCTTTTTTTTTTTTTTTGCAAGTTATAGGGCTATAAGTACAAATTGCAAATTGCTGTTTCAAAATTATATATGTTTGTGTGTTAAAAATGCAAAAAACGATTATGAACGCTAATTTTGGCCAGTGTTTATGACTAAGTGGCTGCTACAAAAGACTGTACATACCCCATTTGCAATGCCTTGGGTTGTCTTCTTTTGCAAATGGTATGCCATCATGGGTGTAATTCTCATTCCTGGACTACCATATGGTCTCAAAGGCAACATAACCAATCTGGCAAATTTCAATGTAAAAAAAAAAAAAAGAAAATCAAGCCTTATATTTGACTTGGTAACTTTCAAAACACTATAAAATCTGTACATGGGGGGTACTGTTATATTCGGGAGACTTCGCTGAACACAAATATTAGTGTTTCAAAACAGTTCAAGGTATCAGAACAATGATATCATCAGTGAAAGTGCCATTTGTGTGTAAAAAATGCAAAAAAACATCACTTTCACTGACAATATCATTGCTGTGATATGTTTAACTGTTTTGAAACACTAATATTTGTGTTCAGCAAAGTCTTCCAAGTAAAACAGTACCCCCCATGTATAGGTTTTAGGGTGTCATGGAAAATTACTGGTTTACAGTGCTAGCAAATTAAATTCTCTGGACTTTCGGCCTGGTTTGTTAGGCACGTGCCTCAAATTGCAATTAAAAAAAATAACTTAATTATGTAAAAATATTACATAAATATGCACATAGAATACATATTTATATACTTGAAGTCTACGTGTATATTTATTAAATTATTTATGTAATTATGCATATAGGGATATATATATATATATATATAGCATATTATTTTTATTTATTTATTTATATATACATAGATATATAGATATATATAATTTCATTCTAAGTGTATTTTGATATATATATATATATATATATATATTAAAATCAAAATACAGCTAGAATAAAATTACATATATACATGATTTAAATTATTTTTTATTATTTTTACATATTTCTTTTATTTATTTACTTATATTATTTATAAGGATTAAGAATAATGCACAATAGTCATATCCAGAAAGTGTTAGAGAACCCCTTTAACAGACCCAAAATTTAATAAACCCTGTTGGCTTACATGTAAAACAACACTATGTCATAACAGTTGACATTTGTATCTTGTAATACTTTTTTATTGGACTAACAGAATTTTGGAATGACAAGCTTTCGGGAGAACCTCCCTTTCTCAAGTCTAAATCATTTATGAGCAAAAATGACACAGGTTCTCCCAAAAGTTTGTCATTCCAAAATACTGTTAGTTCAATTAAAAAAATGTATTACCCTAGCCACCATTGTACCGTTCGTCCCAAGGATGGAGCGGAAGAACCCATCAGTTACTTGACTAACATTAGAGGTGAACTCACCCATTAACATAGGCTGGTAGCCACCCTGAAACCTCCAGACATACCTTGTTTCCTTCTTATGTCTTTTTAGGCTTTTGTTTTGTTTTTTTAAATTTAAAAAGAAGGGACAGGAAAAATGTTTTGTTTTCATTGTTTTTCTTATGTCTAAGTTCTGTCGCCCTAAACTGCTTACGTACTCTGCCTCAAGAAAACCTTTTAGAGCATTGTTATATGACCAAACTCAATAAAAGGATGGGCACAAGGCCAGTTTGCGCCGACATATGTACCTGGAATACCATCAACAGGTACCCATCTCCTCACACCCCTTGGTTGGGGGGATTGCCCCTCTAGAGTAAGCTATTAAGCCCCTCCATACGCCACTCCTTCTATCGAAGGGCACGTTATTCATGCATCATACCCATGCTTGCTCTTCTCTCAGGGCATAATTCAAAAACACTTTTATCACTCCCGAATGACTCTTTATTGGAACTCGTTAACTATTAGTTAAACGGTATAAATGCTCAACATTTCCAAACCCATCTCAGATTACTCTTATACTGTAACTTACCCACCTAAAATAAGACACGGTAATTACCTGGTGTCTCTGATACCTCTGGGAAAATGTCCTCTAGGAAAATGTTTGTGATAAATATTTAAATAAAAGTGCAGAAACTCAGCGACAATGTATGTAAACTACTGTGCAATGTCTTACAACGCATCAATGTGTATACTGTACATGTTTTCTACGCAATGCACACAAAAAATAAAGAATTATAAAAATTTTAAAAATGTATTACGAGATATGAATCTAATCTGTTATTTTGAATCTGCATCTCTGGACTAAGATAAGAGAGAGAGAGAGAGAGCATGTGTGTCTGTGTGTGTGTTGAAATGTTTATATTTACAATAATTCAAAATTCTTATATATGCATTTTTAAATATATATTTTTTATTTATAAATATACGTTGTATTGAGAGTAGGGCAGTGGCGTACTAAGGGGGGGTGGGGGCGGGGGCGGTCCGCCCCGGGTGCCAGCAGGGTGGGGGGTGCCTTGGGAGGGGGCGCCGGCCCCCCTCCTGCTGCAGCCGCCCGAGCGCTCTACAGAGAGCCTCGGGCGGCTGCAGCTTTGCCCGCCCGGGCGCAGCCTGAGGAGAGGGGCTGACAGGAGGGAAGCGCTCAGCGCTCTCTCCTGTCACTCCCTCACTGTAGCATGGCCGAGCCCTCTATTGGTCCGCGGGTACAGGGAGCATCTGTCTCCTGTACCCGGCCGGACTAACAGGAAGTGCGCACTCAGTGTGAGGGGGCAAACTTTACATTTGCCTAGGGCGGCAAAAATCCTTGCACCGGCCCTGGCTGGAGGGGGCTGTGTGAGCTGTGGCCGCACAGTGCCCCATGGTAGTTAGGGTGCACGGAGGAAAAGTGGGGCAGAGCCAAGCAAAATCAGAGGCGGAGCCAAACTGGCGCTGGGGGCAGGGCTTTTGGGGGGGGCAAGGGGGTGCCAAGCACAGGACCCGCCTCGGGTGCCAAATGCTCTAGGTACGCCCCTGGAGTGGGGGCAGACATAATTTTAAATTAGGCAATGTAGATAGAGATTTCAGCATTTAATCATAGAAACCAGTTACTTAGTGTTAGCATCTCCTAATAATCTCTGTAGGAGATGTTTAGCCCTTTAGTAGCTGCTAAATACCAGTTATTAGATTGTGTGGCATTGTGTGTAAACGGAAGTTGTTTAGAGATTGTTGACATTGTCTCTAAATTGTAACAATCATGGAAACAAGCGCATATATTGGGACTGTCCACAAAAATGTAACAGCCCTAGCTCACAAATGTTGTAACTGTTCAGTTACATCCAGTAACCAGCAGAGGTCAGTGCAATCCATTTTATTACATTACTGTGTATATATTTTAAAAAAACACTCCAAACACATAAAAGCTTATTGAAGTGCCCTGAATGGCCCTAAAATTTCAGAATTATTTGATTGCAATAGATGTCCAGAGTATTATGGAAATTGCATTTTAGCTGTGTTGTGGTGCCAGAGTTATAAACATAGATGTCACTTTTGCAGACGAATCCTGTTACACGTCCTTGGCTTTCAATCGGAATGCTCGGAGGTGTTTCTTAAACATAGAAACATAGACTGTGACGGCAGATAAGAACCATTCGGCCCATCTAGTCTGCCCAATTTTCTAAATACTTTCATTAGTCCCTTGTCTTATCTTATAGTTAGGATAGCCTTATGCCTATCCCACGCATGCTTAAACTCCTTTACTGTGTTAACCTCTACCACTTCAGCTGGAAGGCTATTCCATGCATCCACTACCCTCTCAGTAAAGTAATACTTCCTGATATTATTTTTAAACCTTTGTCCCTCTAATTTAAGACTATGTCCTCTTGTTGTGGTAGTTTTTCTTCTTTTAAATATAGTCTCCTCCTTTACTGTGTTGATTCCCTTTATATATTTAAATGTTTCTATCATATCCCCCCTGTCTCGTCTTTCCTCCAAGCTATACATGTTAAGATCCTTTAACCTTTCCTGGTAAGTTTTATCCCGCAATCCATGAACTAGTTTATTAGCCCTTCTCTGAACCCTCTCTAAGGTATCAATATCCTTCTGGAGATACAGTCTCCAGTACTGTGTACAATACTCCAAGTGAGGTCTCAACAGTGTTCTGTACAATGGCATGAGCACTTCCCTCTTTCTACTGCTAATACCTCTCCCTTTTAGTTTAGCTCCATTCATACAGTTTATTGAGGTGTCTGTGATTTGTCAGCCATGTGCATGCGCAGCCTGGCATTATAGTGCCCTGAGGGTGCCCCCACCCTCAGGGTCCCCCTCCCGCCGGGCTCTAGGGGGTGGAAGGGGTTAAATTTACCTCTTTTTCCAGCGCCAGGCAGAGGACTCTCCTCCTCCTCTCCTCCTCCTTTTCGTCGCCATCGGCTGAATGCGCATGCGCGGCACAAGCCGCGCACGAATTCAGCCAGTCCATAGGAAAGCATTGTATGGATGCTGGCGTCTTCTCACTGTGAAAATCACAGTGAGAAGTGCGGAAGCACCTCTAGCGGCTGTCAATGAGACAGCCACTAGAGGCTGGATTAACCCTATTATAAACATCGCAGTTTCTCTGAAACTGCTGTTTATAGAAGAAAGGGTTAATCCTAGCTGGACATGGCACCCAGACCACTTCATTAAGCTGAAGTGGTCTGGGTGCCTATAGTGGTCCTTTAATCCCCAGCACAGTGGGGGATGGCTTACAATAGCTGCAGACACTAGATTTGCAGCTATTGCAAGCTAGGATTTCATATACCGCTCTAAAGAAAACATTGAATGCACGTTTTCTGTGAGTGTATATATACACTATCTCATTGTTTTTTAGTTTTAAATGGAGTTTTACTTTAACATACAAATGTTGACTTCTGCACAATTGCAAAAAAACATTTAACATTCATATTAAATAATGTACGCTTCTTTGCAGCACCAGTGAGGTGTGATATTAGATAGATAACCTAACAATGTTGGCTTTCGGTTAGTCTGCCTTAGGAAAGTCCACATTTTGTGAGCACCTCAGTTTTAGGTTTTCCACTTACATTACTAATTGTATACATGCTTCCCCGAAGGGAAACTTGCTGAAGTGGTCTACGGGTTATCTATATGTTCCAGCAAGAGAAATTGACACTTACAAAATTTCCTAGTTGAGTGCCTCGCTGTGTAGAGCTAACCAGATTCTCCTGGAGAAGACCAGAAGCAGAGAGTACAGGTACCTGGTAGGACCCAGGTGTGTCATCAAATCATTCTAAGATGACTACTTACAGTGGGACGGTGCCAGTGGGCTATAGTGGTTATGGTGGCTTCAGTGTTACTTCAAAGGGTTTATGGTATTGATACCCCTATTTATTTTGTGTGTCACTGAAGATATTTGTAATATATACAAGTTACCAACTAAACTGTGAGCACAGAAAGTTCACTGCAGGCATTACCTGAATCAAGAAAATGTGCGTCTATGATGTGTGTCTGTGTCACTGTCATTTGAATGAAACAGAAACTACAATGTAAAATCTATAAAATTTATAATAAAATCTCAAAATAAAGCTGCAAAACTCAAAGTATTGTAAAATGCAACACACTATAAAATTTTATAACTATATAGCTATAAAATAAATAAAATAGAGGCTTGGCAAATAAAAAGAAACAGAAATATAAAAAAATGGTCATCTTTCAACATTTTTACATTTCAGGGGTTCAACAAGAACTTGACCCCTTTCCCCACATAATAAAAGGGGTACACAGGCCCAAAATTGTTTTCCTGGAAATAAAAGAGACATTCAAATGAGCGAGCATCATAAAACGAGACAATTCCCATCTCATAGTTTAGATATGTCCCTATAATTTGTGGCCTCTGAGAGGGGGTAATAGGTTGAGGAGGAGAAGAAAGTCCAGTAAGACCTTCACTGGATGCTCTAATTGCCCAAATTCCATTTTCCAGGGACTCTCTCAGCCCCCCTTGCCGTCGTACTGTCTCTCTTGCTATGCCAAGAGACCAGAACGGACCAGTGCGCTCCTGAATCTCCGTCTCCCAGTAGTGAATGCCCGAATTAAAAAGGGGTGTAGCGAGTACGCAGGGTTCTGTGTCAAATCGCTTTGGATTGTCAGCAAGAACTTCAAAATTCTCAGCGGCTGAGATGCAACGAGAGTCTGGAGAGATGAGCAGGCCGTGGAAAACTGTCTCATGGTCAAACAGAATGGGTTCTGAGGGAACAAGATAAAAAATAAGAGATATGTAAAGGAAAGAATACAGAAAATGGAGTATGATGCATTGTCAGTATAGTAACATACTTTCAAAGTTTCAAATCAGTGAAGGGGAACACTTTAATTTTAAGATCTATGACCTGGGCAGTGCATTTACCACACCATTTTAGGTGGCTTCATGACTTACTGATTTGTGTCGCTAAACACATCATTTAAAACAAAAACTAAGCATTTCTGTAGCTCAATAAATCATTTAGACCAGGAAAAAGCATTTTACCTGCACAAACTAATTCTAAACACATTTAATATTAATTCAAGACAAAATACTGTGACTTGCAATGCTGCACAACACTGTTATAGACACAACCAAAAGCTCTGAGTATTTGGATGAAAGGGGCTTTAAGGACAGAGAGATTTGGGAGCAAAACATGGCCTGCTGGCCTAAATAGGGACACTTCTGACGTGTGTATGTAATAAAATATAGGATCATGTATATTCTTGCAAATAAATACCTTTATAAACTGAAACTTTCCTCCATTCTGGAAAGAGAAAAACAATTAGAAAAAGCAAGTGGAGAATGAGAATATACTTAATAATGTGATAATTAATAATGTATGTTTGGTTGTGTTTTGTGTCTTCTGTTATTTTTATTCCTTTATTATGTTCAGCTGATTGTAAACTAAAACTTATGGGAGTACTAACAGTACGTTCAGCTCAGGCAATGCATGTTTGAAGTAGCACACACCTTGACACCAACTGTGCCATTACAATTCCAGTGCCCAGAATTTTTGACTACATGTTATAAATAATTACAGTGGAGCACCCTATCTTTTTATAAATCTTGTTTTTTTGTCATGTTGGATACTCACCAATTTCCTGTTCCAGCAACACTGAAAATAAAAGACAGATATATCAGAGACGGAGAGAAATCCGGATTGATTGAGATTTTTATTTTTTTTAGAAAATAGGTACACATTATGAGACGTAGGAGGAAAGAGATCCTAATCGCCAAATCAAACTAATATTGATAACTGCGGCGCTGACAATGAAGAACGTTGCATTACATGCATACCGACCAAAACATTAACATTTTATGCTTCCAAATCTCACAATCGAAAGAATATTCCATTCAAATCTACATTTAAATGTAAGATCTATGAGATGCAATTTTTCATAAGGGTCAATTTATTAAAATAATGAATTGTCATGAAGTTGACCTTCACCTATTCTGTCCGTCAACTTTATTTTTTTCTGCTACTGACATATTTCTAAACCCCCATTGCATAACTGCAGAGTCCCGCAGAAACTGATTGCAATATTTATATATGTTAACATGAATAAAGTTGTAAATAACCCAGAATTGCAATTTTTCCAGCTCAACTCTCTTGACTTTAAATTTTGAATTTTTAGCTGTAATTTAAACTTCTTCAACAGGAGAACACAGCTTCTGTAGAAATCTCTAATCAGGAACACATGAAATCACTCTAACCAGAATCAATTTCAGGCATTCTAACCAGAACCAATGTGCAGACCTCAAAGTCATCGTGAACATTTTAATTTGCATTCTCTTATATAAGGCTAACTTATTTATAAGAGCTGCTGGTGAGATATCTGCAGTATCTAGGAGTTACAGTTTTATTCCCAAAAATGTGATCTCAGTTTTTTTATCTTTGCAATGTCAATGAAATGAGTTACATTAAGTTGGTTAATAACCCCAATGACATACAGTACCATACAGTACTTGAAACTGGCAAATGTACCTTTCTGGGTTAAATATTTTGTTATTATTATTATTATTACATTGAAGAAATATCTCTTTAATTTTAATTTATAAGTTCTAATTATTTCTATGCTGCACAATACAGAAATTGCTTCTGACATATCAAGTTACTGTCTGTTTAATTGAATCCAGAAGACAAATAAACCTGCTCTGTCCTAATTCTATTAAAAATCCCAGACTTGGCTTTATTTACAGTGTTTAGAGTTTTGTCTTCTAGAAACTGTGTCCGAAGAATGTGATTACATTATGTAAACTTCATCACACAGTTTGTGGTTTTTGTTTGTTTTTGGAAAAATTGACCAACAGTGAAATTGATCGATTCCAGTAAGTGGTTTAACCAAAGCGTCTAATGGAAAGAATTTTTCTGATGAATAGATAGGTTTTCACTCACAGATCAAGGTGTTAATCTATTGTGTTTCTGTTTTTAACTCAGCAAACATGAGCTCAGATTTCATAAAAGTGCTTTTTCTCTAAAGGAAAAACAGTAACGTTGGGGCCAACTGTTTGTAAAGGCCTCCAAGGCAACAAGTCCTCTTGCACGGTTGTGGTTTGTGGGAGGTGGGGCAGGGAGATATATTACTTAGACATCTCCTGTTTCAGCTCCAGCTTCAGTTCTTGGCCAAAGTCAGAACTGGCGGACCAGCATGGTTGGTGTACTTGCAACTCAGCAGAAATTTACAACATGAGAGTCTAGGCCAGAGCCTGCAAGATCATGGTATCTTCTTGTGGAGTGAGTTACTGTAGACAAGAAAATTCCCGTTCTCATCAGTTGTCATGAGAGTTGGTTGATGGTAATGTCAAGATGCAGTAACAAGAGGCTGTTTTAAGCTCTACTTGCTGCCATATTTTGCCAAATATCATCTTATTCATAAGACAAAGCCGACCAATCAAGTGGTATGGTTGTGCCGTGGGACACACGACTTTCCCTCAGTTCTCCCAATCACTCTCATCCTATGTCAGAAGGACTGTGGGAAAGTGCATTGAGTGAGCATGATTACCTCACAGTGCATTTGGTGTGAATTTAAGGACCATCACACTCATGCACGAGCTATTAAGCAGCACTTGGCATATGGGTAACTCTTATTGGCTCCTCTGCTGGTCAGCCTATCACCTTTATACTTGCTTGGTGGCATGACACAACTTACTGAGGTGTGCACATTGTCCATGAGATTAAGTCAAATAGATAATGCCAATAACTATAGCTAATTAAGTCAAACTGTGACTAGCTGGTTTGGAAAATATTGCCAAATGGGCTGTTTTGACCTACGTTTTGCCATTCAAATGTGACTTTTTTTTTACAATTTGGACTTTACAGAATAAGCCCCTTAGATACTCCAGGTGGAACTCTGTCCATTGAGCTATCTCTCCAGAGTTTGGTGAGCTATATAGCCCATACCGATTTTAATTCTCATTAATTATGAAGTGCTGACTAAGACCTACATTTACTTATTTTTAGAGCCTTTTCAAATGTTTGTGATAATTTGAAAAGAAGTAAGCATAGGCACAATGTAGGTGATCTGCAAATTATAAAAGTTCTCAATGTATTTATGCTTAAGATTTTCAAGTGGGCTGCCAGCTCACCACAAGTCCTTTTGAAGTAAAGTGACAAATACCAAGTCTCACTATTTGTCACGTGTCAATCTGAATGGCAGGATACATCTGGCGTGGCAGTTTGTAAGTTATGATGTGAGTGTTTGTAAGCTTTCTGTTACCTGTGTTTTGAGAAAGGTCGGCCTACTTTTCTTTTTTTGTTTCGTAAATAGCGCTTTTATTAGCAGTTCAAATAATAACAGGTAGCAATATGAATGATATCAGTGAGACTCGCAGGTCTCAATCAGCATCTTACATGAGCACCACATGTGCCAAGTGTAACTTTATACAATGCTTCTGTATGCGGTAGAATGCTGGCCTAAAATATTAAGGACACACAGGTTTTGCGTTTGTTCTCCTACCAGTTGGTTGTTAGTGCGGTAGGTCTCGAGTTAACATCCACTTACGTGGAGGGCAAAATGGGGGTCAGTCTTACGGGTCAGAGTCCTGTAGTCTTGCACCGGGTCTGGGTCTCCATCGTCTGTCTGCCCTTTCCCTAGTGTCTTACGCGCCTGGGTATTTACTCAGTTCTCTCCCGGAGCATCTACCATCTTGTTCTGAGTCCTCATCCATTCCTCGTTTACAAGACAGTGCCATTATAGAGGAGACTCAGTAGTGCGTTTGGTCGTTGCTATCGTCCTGCTTCCTTATAGGCGGTGTTTGGTGTAGTTATCCAGTCACTAACTACATTAGGTATCTGTGATGTGTCTGGAATGTTCCCCCCACTTTGGGTGGTGGTGTTGTGGTGTCACGTTGTCCGGTTGTGTGTCGGCCTACTTTTCTTGTAATCTGGGTTATATTCAGTTAGCATTGAAATAATTAAAATGAACCAGAATATGGTGGAATCTGGGTATTGGACCAGAAACTGATTTTAGAAATAGCAATAAAATAATTATAGCTAAAACTATATAAATAAAAACATTATAAAAATGAGCTCAGTGTCTCTGCTCAATTCAATATACCAATATCAGAGGCCAGAAATATCTGCAGAGAAAGGAATTCTATGTAGCAATATGGTCTTAGTGCTACATTGAATGAAAATACGTAGCACACTTTAGACACACTGTGCCATATAATGTAGTACGTCCAGTGTAATACAATAAACTCACCCCAGATCAGGAAACATACAGTGATCATTCACTTTTAACCTTGGAATGTTACATGCTTGTCTGTATCAAATTTGTTGGTACTGAAAGTACTTTTAATTTAATACAGTTTCATTAATATTTTTAATTTATTTATGTTCTGTTTTTTATATATGTTTTAAATCATTTAAACTATAAGGCATTTCTACAAGGGAGCAGCAATTCTGAGATTTATTCAGTGTATTGTAGGTCATCCTATCCCGTTTATGTTGGTTTATAGTAACAAGTAAATACTTACCCAGTTGTCTCTCGTAGGTTCTGTTTTTTATCTCTGAAATGACAGAAATGATTGAAAACTGTAAATTCATCATGGTAGTTAGGCTGTATTAATTAGCGTTGGAGGGACGGGTCATGGCCTATGTAACCCCTCACCCCACTCGTTATTCATTATTAATAATTTAGATAATTTAGTTATTTCTACCTTTGGGTTCTCCACCTTCTTTTTTTAAAGTTTCAATATTTTTCCCCTTTGTGTTGTATTTTTTCCCATTACTTTCCTTTTTTATTACTGCACTAGAGCCTATGTTACACACTACGCACCCCTATTTTAGAAGACCATGACCACAACATACCCCGGCATGACCTAGGTAGCTACTTATAAGGGTCTGTTAGCATCTCTAAGTTTCTAATTCGGAGTAAATCCTATTATGCGTATGGGGTTTAAATATATTCTGAAATTTAAACACTTAAAGTAATTATGTTATTTTCTGGGTGACAACATTTACAAAGGCCCCTGATGTTGACTTTGCCACTAAGTGTCTGGTTGCTGCAGGGAGCAGAGGAAGGTGGGTTATTTTTGCCTAAATTTGTTCTTAGCGGCTGCTGCCATACTTTTTCTGATGGTCTTTTTCAGCTCCTGGTGTATCAGAATCCTCCCCAAACAGACCTTTTTCCCCCTCAACCCTCACTAGGCTGGGGGCTAGACAAAGCTTGACAAAAGGTAGCTCTGTCTTATAATCAAGCTTGTCAAGATTACAATAAAACCTAAGACAAGGTAGGCCTTATTGGCACGGTATATCTTTTCACTGGGGTGAATGTAAGTGAAATTCCTACACAGTCACTGTGAGTATTTTATAAAGATAATATTTTTTATAAAATACTCATTTTGGTGGGCGGTTGACAGAGCCACTTTAAACTATAAATGGAAAAAGATGTGGCTTCACTAAATGTGGGAGATTAATAGATGTCTTCTGCTATATTCCTTTTTGGGTTAGTAATCTCCTGCAGTCTCTGTACCTTGGTCTTTACGGTATGAGATGAAGTACCAGACCGCCACTGCAGAGCCAATAAGTAACACAGCCAGAAGCAGACTGAAGCCAATTGCCCAAGAGGAAAGACGAGGAAAGATGTCTTCTGCGCTCCATGATAAATGAGAAAAAAAAATATTGTCAGATATATTCATTTTACACACATAATACTACACAAACCCAAGACCTCCAACACCACTTCCAGACAGACCTGAGATCTTCACGTAGGTGCCTATCTCTTTGCCAGTCACAGGGTGCGTCACTCCACAGTAGAGACTTCCATCGTATGAGTCTTTCAGAAGAATGTCGTTCTTTATAAGGAAAAGTTCATTATTCTCTTCATTGAAGGTCACTTCCTGAATACCTAAATCAATATCTTCCATGTCTTTCTTCCAATGCATAGTAGGTTCTGGAAACCAACCACTGGAAGAACAGGTGAGGTGAACCAAGTTATCTTTGAGCGCAACTTCTACAAGTGGTGGCTTGCCCACACCTGCAAAAGACAGGAGAACTGGTCATTCAAAGTAACCACAAGGAGGCAGCTGCAAGGTTTTCCAAATATTCAATTACAGCTTATAGATAGAGGACAAAGGGAGGAAATGATCGGCTATCACCGATGCGCCCATCAGCTATGCATTCTTTTTCATCTTGTCTTTTATCTACACGTACATATTAACACGATATTTTATTTTGGGTTTTCTTTTCTGCTTTTAATATAAACATTATTATAAAAAATATATAGATATTCTATCTATACAAATTGCACACTAACGTGTGCTCTATCTTATATAATAAGGGGAAAAAAATAATGAGGGTGGTGAGATTATGTTGTATAGCTCTAAAGTATGTACTTTGCCCACACTGCTTTTGTTTGTTTGTTTTTTCACTAAAATGTGTTTTGTAGTGAGATATAAGCCACTTGCATAATATAACTCTAGATATCTAAATTTAGTTGTATTTTTTTTTTTACCAGCTTGGCTATTTTGGTCTAATTGTTCAAGGAACGGGTCAGCTCACCACAACACATGGTTTATTGGACAGGTCAACATACCGATAAAGTTGGCCTTTTATACCTTTTATAAATCCCAATTTCTTCCCTTAATCATCGCAAATCTTTACAACTATCTATATTTTTGCTGTGCTTGGGTCAAAGCCTTTTTATTTTTGTTCCCTTATCCGTCACTGGCATTATTTAAGATGAAAAAAACAAAACAAGAAAGAAAAGAATAAAAGGAAAGAATGATTTTTTAATGAATGTTGATACATAGCGAGAGCAGCAGGGGATAGAAAAAAAGGACTGGTAAAGGTGTGAGGCGGGATACAATCAGCAGGAAAAAAATAATCTTAAAGCAGAAATCTAACTCCCCACAGACAGTGATAAAAAATGTATAAACTAACCCACTACCCTAAGCTCCATAAAAGCCTCTTCATAGTCTTCTGAACTGGATCTGTTCTCCACAAAGCAATGGTATTTGCCAGCATCAGTGATAACGACTTTATTCAGAGTTAATGTTAGGTTTCCTGTGTCTGGACCACCAGATAGGGAAACTCTACCACGGAATTCTGAGATTTGAAGTTGCCTATCCTCACGTCCACCTTTCAACAGGAAGACCACGTGGTTAAAGATGTTATGGAACCAGCGCACATCAAGTCCATCCACACTCATTGAAGGTGAGAGTAGACAGGGCAAATTAATGTCCGTCCCTACATCTGCCAACAATAGCTTATCTTTAGTCAGCACCTGAAATGAAGCTGGTAGGAATAAAAGACGGGTTGTAAGTCATCAATATTATTATTATTATTTTATAATTTAAATAGCACCAACAAATTCCGTAGCGCTGTACAATCAATATTAAACCAGACAGAAATGGTTACCTTACTATTTTGTGACTTTATGGGGATGGTAAATTTAGAATTTCCTCCAAACCTTTTCTTACAAATTGCCAAATCTCTGCAATGTAGATGCAATTTGGTTTTGGAATGATATGTCATTTTTTTGCATTAAATTGAAATATGTTCCAACTTATTTTTGATACATACCAAATTACCCAAAAGGAAATGAGTTCATATAGGGCTATTCTTCAAAATGTTCTCAGCATGACAATTTCAGCACACATATGAGTTTGTTCGGATATTTGAAATAAATAGAGAACGCTAGGTTTGGAGTAGGGTTCTCTTACTCACTTTGTAACTCATCCCCAAACCTGTCAATCAAATCCCGATGATTTAACTGACAGGTGAGGAGGGGATGTATTTTTAGAAGAGCTTTATTTTAAAATGTATACATTTGCTGGCATTTCTGCTAGAACAATGTATAGATATATGTATGTGATTGGAGTCCAATTTACAGAGCAGGAGATAAAAACTTCTAAAGAAAGTTTATATCTGATTGAAAACAAAAAAACAAAAAAAAACTTTTCAAGCAGGCTGTGTGAGTCAAATCAGGGGAGGTGTGGCTAGGGCTGCATAAACTGAACCAAAAGTGATTTAACTCCTAAATGGCAGATAATTGGTTAATGAGACTGCAGGGGCATGATCTATGCACCCAAACTGCTTTATTAAATTAACATTGTATTTTTTTGTCTGTAGTGTCCTTTAAAAATGGCTGCCCCGCAGAGAAAGGTTAGGCCAGGGTATAAAAAGAGGTATTTCCTTAAATTTATGTTTTTATTTTAAAACAAATTCTAACAATTTTTCTTAACACCATGTAACCAAATTGTATATACATGTCTTGCTATTTGTCCACCTTTTATTCAGCAACAGTGTTTACTGTGAGGAATCCACTATAAACTCAAATAGTTCTTTCATCAATTCCTCTTTTGTGCTAATCATGACTAACCATAGAGTCAAAGAAATGTTTATGTCACATGTTTGTTAACACATTAAGTGCCTCCCATGATCTTCACCAATAAAGACTGTCTATTACACCCCATTAGGGTCTTACTCTACCTTATCTATATGGGAAATGGAGTCCCTATCAGAGGACACAACTTTGTTAATAACAATGTTACATCACTAGAAAATATATTGACAAGAACAACATGTTTAGCATTCCTTAGGCTATGTGTAATGGTACCCAAGGTTTGTTGGAGATGGTCCCCCTGCTCCCTGACCCCATTCTCTGAGAGCCCCTGTGACATGCAGTAAGTGTCCAGGGATGGGTGATGAAGGTAGGTACCTGCAGTGACTGGAGTCAGGATTACTGTGAGATAGATCAGCGCTCTCTCCATTCTCTGTGACTGTGTCAGACCAGCTGTCTCTCTTGTATCCTGTGTGTCTAACTTATATTCTGTTATCTAATGATTTATTTTACACCTGCCCTTCTAGGGGTCTCCAAGCTATCACTCAAATTCATTAATTCTGTCTCATTTCCCCTCTCCCTCCCCCCTCTCCCTTCTCTCCTTTCCCTCTTTGTCCCCCTTTTTCTTTTACCTCAGTGCCCCCCTCTCTTATATCTGTGATTCTCTCTCCTTTAATTTAATAAACCCTTTATCCTTCTCTGCCTCTCTTTCTTTTTCCCTCTGTGCCCTCCCTCTCTTTTTCTGGCCTTCTCTCCTTTTCTGCTCCTCTCTTTTTCCTTCTGTGGCCCTCTCTCTCCTTGCCCCCTGTGTCCTCTTTCTTTCCCCCCCCCTCAGCCCCTCTCTCCTCTCTGCCCTTGTCTCCCCAGTCTTACTCCTACTCAGTTCTGTCCCTTTTTTACTTTCTGAAGCTTCCACGCCCTAAGAGTTGCCCAATAGCTGTTTATACAAAAGAAAGCCTACCGGGTTACACACACTGGGAGAACATGCATACAAGTTTTTGTGAGTGCAAACTGAAAGTACTTTCACAGCAAACGAGGGAGAGAATAGAATAGACCCAACGAGACAGTAAGAGACATCCTGCTGATCTGACAGCTCTGAGAATGGGTAGAACGCTGGGATATGGCTGTGTCCAGTTATTGTCACTGACTGTAGCAATCTCAGGTACAAAACTCTGTCTGTCTGTCTGTCTGTCTGCCATGTATGTACACTGTCAGCTCCAGCTATCTCTCAGTATCTCTCACAGAGATATGATTGGTATTCTTTTCACAGACATTTAGGGGCTCAGGGTGGGATAAAACATTTAAGAGATAATATAGTGTAAGAACTCAAGTTATGAAATATGAATGTACAAACACAAAACCTATTTTATTAAATACAGTAATTAAAAAAAATCTAATATAAAATGATAAATTAAATAAAAACAGTCAAATACTATATTAATTAGGATGTTGAATCTATTGGGTTACCCTCATATCATCATACCTGTATGTGAGTTGTGTGTGTATGTGTATCTATATAAATATGTAGGTCTTTTTTTATAAGATATGTTACTTTGCTGTTTTGCATTAATGAGCATTGTGTTATTAAATTAAAACCATAACCACTACAGCCTGCGTCGTCCCACAGTAAGTGAACAAACCATTTTAGTACTAGGTATACCGTGCCGTTTGTGGGAAACATTCATTTGCAATACTGCAAGGGCAGCGTAAATATCACAAAATCACTTAATCACGATGAACAGGGTTATTTACTAATGGGAGAATTGTCAGGAATTCAATGTGAATTCTAATATGAAATCAAAATAGCCAAATTGGAAGCATAACTGACTTGGAGAATGTTTCCAGACCAGCTGTCTTGGCCTGAAAGAGAAATTCACTTTGTATTTCTGAATGTTTTTCACTTTAAGTAAATAGCCCTGTAAGCGATTTTTTAATTCTAATTCTCTGCGTCCCACCCTAAGTTAGCATTTATGCCTGGAGCATCTGAAATGTAACTAGTGAGTCAATATAAAAAGCGACTGTAAAAAAAAATATATATATATAAATCTATTGCAGGTTCAAGTTGAAATAAAAATAATATGATCAAATACCTTTCTGGTAGTATTTGTAAGAATCCACCTGATATTTTAGGAATGCACATTGCCTTAATGTTATCACAGTGTGAACATTATAATTCTTTACTGGTATACAGTAAAAAGAGCCGGCTGGCTAAAACCAGTCCCTTTCATAGAACATTGCAGACTATTATTGCAGCATGTAAAAATGTTCTGAAATGTGCACAGTGTCTTTATAGTACCTCCACCCCTTGGCTGCCAGTCTGCCACTTTGTACATTGCCCTCTGCGCAGTCAGAGAAAAGAATCTTGTTTTTTATGAATAGGCTGACCCAGTAGCTTGAATCAGGGTACCAGAAACACCAAGGGGTTTGAGAGCAAGGGAAAACTGGATGATCCCTAAACTAACAGAGAGGTGCAGATGTCATGACATACGTTATGTTCTTTCCTCTCTATCCATGCAAAGAGTGCTGCTAATTCTATTTGGAATCTCAGTGAAATCCTAGCTGCACAGCCAGATATTCTTGTGATTCCACTGTCCTACCTACGTAATAGATGGGTGAGCAACAAAGTTCTGTTCCCCTGCACCCCCTCCAAGTAGTCACATAGGAGACATCAACATCTCTATATAAGTAGACTGATAGAACGCCATACTACAGATCTTTCTTTTTATAAAGGGTGGTTGCTCGAAAATGCAGAAAAAAATTAAAGGGACATTTCACTTCCCAAATAATTTTTTTTTTTTTAAATTGCTGTATAGTACATATACCCCCAGTAAAACATGCGCGCATTTAATTACGAGTTGTTTTCTTTTGGTCTGTATCTAAAACAGCTTGCAAAAGCTGCAGATTTCATGTCTACAGTCATTGCAATCCCTCCCCTTCTAACCCGCCCAGACTTTCTGTGGCTGTCCATTCACAGACTTCCCAATGCAGCTCAATGAGTAGTCTTTGCAAGGCAGGTGCTCTGAGCAATTGCTGGGTCTTGAATTTTGTTCCACTGTGCTAAACAACCAGGAAGTAACAGGACTGGTTGTCTGATTGACAGCCAAGGGTTTTAACAAAGTTAATTTATAAATGTGTCAGTTTCGGTTAAATTCTACACTTTTTGTAAAATGAAAACAAGAGGAGACAAAATGCTTTAGAGATCTGCAGTGTACCTTAATATTAATATTAATATGTACCTTAATATTCGTTTCCCCCTTCACCACCTATAGAGGTACAAAGTTAAAGAGACCCTCATCTGGGGCTTTAGGCCCCCCAAGCTTCCCCAACAGCACCTGTGACCTGCATGTACTCACTAAATTAAGTGCTAGCAATTTCTGCTAAACCACAAAAGGCATCATTATTGGAATGATTTGATTTTATGAAGCATGAATAATTTCTGCAGATCTATACAATGGGCAAGCAAAACCTACAGGTGAATAAGGAAATGAGGATTAGCACTGCAGTGGGAAATTCATTTACATATGTGTGCCTATTGATTCCTTGCAAGAAACAATGCTCCCATTTTGCTTATTTGTACCTTACTAGAAAATTCAACCCTTAGTACTGTCAGTATTTCACAGGAAATCTCAGAACCAGGTGGGTACATTGAGGAATCGGCCATGGTTCCGTGCCAGTTGAATCTATTGCTGGAATAGCCAACCTACCATTCTACGCCAATCAACTCCTCACTGGAGTATCGTCAGTGAGTACACAGAAAGAGTTTAAAATCTAGAATAGCAATAGGTAAACTGAGGGTTATTTTTCTTGGCAAGAAAAGACGACAATCCGGTTAAAGACGCCAGGCGTATAATTAAAAAAAAAATAATTATAATTTCATAAGACGTTAATATGCTCCTTTTGGTTATAGGAGGTCATTATGAATTACAGGACCTCCATATAGGAAAGAGTACTACATGATAAGGTCACAGAGGGCGGTTGTCCTCAATACTTTTTTCAATTGTTTATAGTTGCGTTACCAGGAAGAATTTATGTTTTTTCTGTAACTTTCAAGGCTTTCCAATAGAGTTGAGTGAACCCGAACTGAAAAGTTCGGGTTCGTACCGAACATTACGTTTTTTGGACCCCAGACCCGAACACGGACATATCACTGTATGTTCGGGTTGGAGTTAGGTGTTCGGCGATTTAATGACGCATTTTGAAAGGATGCAGGGCAGCCAATCAACAAGCCTTTGACTCGTGTGCCCTTAGAAGCAGTGAGCAGCCTATGGGGGCTTTTAAACTAAAGAGGGGACCTATTGCCCCTTGGCCTCCACCCCTGAGCGGTGGGTGGGGGCCCTAAATAACAATAAGGGGGGGAAGTTACTGTCCTCTCACCCCGGCCCCCACCCCAGAGCGGTGGGTGGGCGCCATAAATAAAAAAAATGGGGGGGACCTAATGTCCTCCCCCCGGCCCCCACCCATGCGTGGCGGGTGGGGGCCCTAAATAACAATAAGGGGGGGGTGGCGAAACTAACCTCGCCACTGGGCATTGGAGAAGCCTGGTTGCTCGCCTGCTCCCTTTAGACTATGGATCCATGTTAAAACGCTTTATTTTCCCCTGCAGAAAGGCTTGTTCATGCCTTCTGCCTGGGCGTTCGGTAGATTGAATCTACCGAACAAACTACCGAACGATCGACCACCTGGGAACTAGAGTGTGCCATCAATTGACCTCCCAGAAGCTGCGGTTAACCATAGCTTAATTGGTGAACGCAGGGAGGTCGCTGTTCGTGTAGCTCACACGTGGTGGCGGCCATTTTAAAGTCCCGAACGGCCAGCGGTGCTCAGCGCCCAAACTATGGAACTGGAAACGGACACTTATTTGCGTGAACACCGCTGAGCCGTCAGCCTCCTTGCTTGTTCATTCGGTAGTTTAACCGTATGAACAGCAGTACCCCAGATAGCTATGGCAATTGAACTGGATGTATGTGGTTGTCACGGGCCCGGTGGTCCTGGGGGGCCCGGGACTGTCAGAGAACTTTCTTTGTCTGCACACAAAGATAGCAGAGGGGGCCCAGCACACAGCTTCTACACTCTTCTAATAACTCTTGCGAGACCCGGTTACCATGGCAACACTCCGCGGGTCTTAGAGTTATTAGAAGAGAGGAGAAGAGAAGAGTAGAAGCTGTGTGCTGCCAGGGCCCCCTCTGCGGTAACAAGGAGCCGGGGGGGCCCCCCATGCTACCGAAACACCAGGGATGGAATCTCCCCCCTCCCACACTCTGCATAAACTCTGCATAAACTAACACAACACACACTGCATACACTGACACAACACACACACTGCATACACTAACACAACACACACTCTGCATACACTAACACAACACACACACTAACACAACACACACACTGCATACACTAACATAACACACACACTGCATACAATAACAC